TGGAAGAGGCAGTGGAAAGATCATACACATTCGAGGATCTGGAGGAGTGCTAGGAAATATGGTCTTCTGGATATGTCCAGAATATTGGATATTGGCTGTTGCAATCATGAACGCACAGCAGCTATAACTACTTGACATGAATGACATATACACATGCATGCACACACACATGTACACACACAAGACATGAATGTAAGAGGAAGAGTAGTTGGGAAAAAGAAAGAGTTCAGCAGGAATAGGAAAGAGGGAAAGCAATAAAGAATACATATAAAATAAATAGATATGAAATTAATTTGGAAGTTGTAGAAAAAGAAATTCTCAGAGACGACTCATAGCTTCCAAGTCTATGTCTACACACTCACTATGGGAAATATTAACTTACTTCCATCTTTATTTTATAGATGAGAGGACAGACATACAATATAATTGTGGTGGTGAAGCATGCTTAAAATTTCTGTGTCCTTGTCTAGACCTTTCTCCATATTTTACTGTGGTTAACATACAGTTATGAATTGTGTAATTTCATGCCCTCACATTTCTCACAGGATTTTATTTTGTTATAAGAAAGGGGGAGGGTTTCATGGTGGACTCATGAGAGAACTGCCAACATGATCTTTGAGAAGATATTAGCTGACATATCCCAGACCCAAGAAAGAGAGTCCAACATGAATGGAGGACATGAGGCCTCCGTCTACTATGAAGCATTTCTTTCATTCACAGAAAAACAGACAGAGTGACAGACAGAACTTCTTCGCTGTTATACTGTACCTACCACCAGTCAGTAGAGGCTGAGGCCGGATACAAAGGGGTCTGACCTGAAGCTGGGCTTGCCTGACCCACATGAAAGCATCCTTAGGCTTTTGGTCTCATCTCCAGACATGCATTTTAATTTCTCATTGGTAAAAGTAGATAATATAAAGCATGGGAGAAGTGCAAAATTATTATACATAAAAGAGATTTAAAAATGAGAGTATTCAGAAAAAACTCCCAGGAAATGCTAATCATTGAAGCTATCATTTTTCCCTAGGGGACAAGAATTTGATTTCAGGGATAAATACCTCAGTAGCTGAAAGATGTGATTACTGTCAAAAGGTCAAAAATATTTGAGGATTTGAAAAGAATCCATGAAAGATGTGAGAGAATGCTATTGTCTCCATCCAACCAAAAAGGCCAAGTTCATGGGAAAGCCAAGTGAAAAAAGTCAAATCATGTTTTATGTGAAACATAGACCTTGTAGGTACTCATCAGAGGAAATTACACACCAAGAGGGTAGTTCAAAGAAAAACTCATTACTCCCGCTACAAATGCACAGAACTGCAAATACATGGCAATGCTAACTGTCTTTGGGTTTTCAATAAGCAGTCAACAGCTTTTGCAAGCTATAATCTAGTTCTTAAGGGCCTACACTCACAATTACCCTGTGGATGAGGCCATCTGACCACAAACTGTCGAAATTGTGTAATGTTTTCCACAAATGTTAGGTTCACAGTTCATTAAAAAGATCGTGAGGTCCGTGCCAGGCTTCCCATGCACTGTTGCTCCATGGCAGTGTTGGCTCTCTGAAGTCATCCCGGCGCCCAAACTGCCCTGTGTAACTCCACCTGATTTCATGCCCCATTGATCTGCTCCCCGTGCACTTTTCCTGGATTGGGTCACTAACCTGGATCTGGTCTCCCCACCACATGAACATTTTGGGTAGCCCCACTGGCATCCCCTGCAGGCATCTCAGGTTCAACAGCCCTCAGCTCCATCCTTCCTGTTCACTGCCTCCTTCCAAGGCAGCATTGGCTACCTGTGGGCAGCTCTTCCTGGCATTCTCACGGAATCTCGACTCATTCTCCTTTTCCTTCTCCCCACGGACATTTCTGTACTTCCTCCCATGTAGTTCGTTATCCTTAATTCTCTTGCCTGGACTTTGTTCATTGCAACTCCATCCGTCAACAGTTCCTCTTTGTCCACAGGAAGAAATTCAAGCTCTTTTGGGCAGCAGTGAAGGTCTTTGAGTCTTGATTCTCCATCTGTTGACTTTTAACTCTTCTATTCCACCGAGGTGGGATGTTAGGGTGAGCTTTGTCACACAGTCCTCAGACTCTCAGTTCCACAGAACCAAATACCCTCCTCCAGCCCCTCTTCCTTCCTTTGTTTGACTAGCTGCAAAACCAGCCCTTAGTGGCTCAGTGCAGGTGTGCATCCTTCCTAGGAGTGTCCCTTGCCTTCCCTTATTGGGTTAGGTACATCCCCTCTACCCAGCCTTAGCATCGTGATGTGCTCTACAGCCACACACTTGTCCTTGTCTTGGTGAACACAAGTTGCCAGAAGGAAGCTGCATTTAACATTCTGCAAGGTTGATTGACTGATTTAAAGTTGCATTGACGTTTGGACTGTTGTAAACCCAGATAAAAATTTTCTGGGGCAACCTTATCTCTTTTAATGACCATTTATTGCCCTTTTCAGTACCTGCCCTAACATCTTTGTGACCATTAAGTAAATCCCTTGGAATATACAGAGAAATGGTTTCCAACCAACCAAATAGCTAAGAATGTCGTCAGATCACCTCTGAGGCCTAAAGCAGAAGATTCTCCACTTTTCTTTAACCCGACTACATAATATTTCCACCACTGTAGTTGCAAAGTGTCTTGATTGATGACTTTCTTCATTCTATTACTGTAAACATTTTGTGAGACAGCTTCCACATAGGACACACAATTTGGGGTAACATGAATTTGTGTTCCCTGGCCATGGTCACTCATAACTGACTCCAGAAAAACTATGTGTCAACCCCTTTGAGATGACAGTTGGGTGAGAAGTGTCCCCCAGAGGCTCATGGAACTGAACCCTCAGCCCCCAGTTGCTGCTTCTATTAGGGGGAGGTTGCAGAATCTTTTGGAGGTGCAGCCTTGCTGGGGAAAGTATGTCACCAGAGATAAGCTTGGAGGGTTGATAGCTTCACCCCACGAGCTGCTCGGTGTCTGCTTCCTGTCTGTGACTAGAAAAGTAACCGCCCACTTCCCTTCTCCTCTCTCCTGTTATAGACTCTCCCTCTGGAACCCTGTGCCAACACAAACTTTTCCCCCTCAAGTTTGTCTTTGGCCATGGTATTTTATAATAGCAACAGAAGAGTAGCCAATATACCAAGTAGCTATTTCCAAGACAAATACCCGTCATGTGCCACACCTGCTCCAACAAGGAATCGCTGGCACTTCCCTTAAGGCATGATGACCTGGGAGCTGTATTTACAACCTGGCAAACAAGAGTTAATGTTAAGGAACAGAGATAAGGAACAAAAATGTAATGAAAGGACTCAAGAAATGGACTGTATTTGTGGTTTAAAAACGTTTTCAGCCCTAATGTCCAAAGGATAGTGTTGAACTACAGATACTTGAATTTTTCTCTTCATATTTCATAATATGTTTTATGTTTTATAAATATCATTAGCTTAATCTAAGAATTTGTTCAGGGATAAGAAATAATGAATGATGATGAATAAATAATGAATCGTGAATGAGGCCACCATACAGTGATATCTTAGGTGTGGTATCTCACTCCTTGAAACAGTAAGGATGTTTCTCATTGCTAGAGCATTGGTGACGCATTGGAAACACAAAGATCCCAGGATAGCCAAAACAATCCTGAATAATCTAAGAACTGTGGAAGGTATTGCTATCCCCGAGTTCAAGCTGTACTACAGAGCTATGGTAATAAAAACAGCATGGTATCGGTACAAAAACAGACATGTTGATCAATGGAGAAGAACTGAAGACCTAAGCATAAATCCACACACCTGTGGACACCTAATTTTTGATAAAGAAGGCAGATGTGTGTACATTGGAAAAAAGACAGTTTCTTCAACAGATGGCACTGGTCGAACTGGATGTCTGTATGTAGAAGACTCCAAATAGATCCATACTCTGCACAAAACTCGACTCCAAATGGATCAAATGCCCCAACATAAAACCAGATACAGTGAACCTGAGGGAGAAAGTGGGGACAAAGGGAGAGAGAATGGTGGGGGATTGTTGGAACAGATCCTGGGAGGAGGGGCAAAATGAATCTGATTCTTCCTATTATACCCGTCCTAATTTTGTTACTTTTTAATCTGAATCTTTGGGCGCTGGTTGTTCTATTCTAATATTCCTGTTCACTTTGTGTCTTTCTGCCCCAAATCTCTTAAACTCTAGATGGTCCTAACCGTGCAGAGATGAACACTGAATCTGCCCTCTACCATGGACCAATATATCAAACTGCCCTCCAAATGTGTATCTCTATCCATAGTGCAGCTCTCTATGATCTCGTCAGAGAAGTTTCTTTGTACAGTGAACAGAGGTTAATGGAGAAAACTATACTTGGTAAAAGTGCAGAGAGTAAGTGTCTGTGGAGTGCTTAGCCACAAATGGGACATCTGTAACACACACTTCACCCCAACGCTCAGGGACTATTGCAGAAGAAGGGGCAGAAATATTGTAAGAGCCAGAGGACAGGAGGAAACCAGTCTCTTTGGACAAAACAAGACCTCTGCACACATGAACTCCGAGCCTTTGCCTGCACAGTATCAAATCATTTCACACGTAGCTGAGGAGCCATTGACAGTTGATGGCTTCTGGGGCAGAAATATTCAATGTTCTTTAAAAGTCTGGCTCTAGTAGGCTGACCATGTTCCAGTGGTCATACCCTTGAGTATATAAATAGCACAAATAGGAATTAGTGGCTTATAAAGGTGGGGAGACATGAAGCTGTGAGGGGAAGACATGAGCTGGGCAGTGGGTGTTAGAGGAGTTACGTGAAGGGGGAATGGAGGTAATATGATCAAAACACAAAAAACATTACACGCATGTATGAACTTCTCAAAAGTAATAAAATATTTAAAAGAATATCTGTTAAGCAGAAATTTATGTTTTCTTTCCTCTGTTTCTTTGTCATGTAATATCAATGTAGATGTTTTCAGGGGGTAAGTGTTATAAATATACATTATTGTATTTAAAAGATAGGTTTGGAGGTGACAGCCTGCAGCAAGATCGACACAAGACGTGTATAGCAGGATCGCGAGCAATAGCTGTAGCATTCCCGACTGGGCCTGGGAGTTGTCTTTGAAGAAAGGATGGCTCACTTTTTCCCCCGTGGCTCCTGTAAATTCGCCAGAAAGAGAATCAGAGTTGGCGCTGCAAAGAGGATCTCAGAGAATGTGTTTCTCATGATCCGCCGCCACAAGACCACCATCTTCATGGAAGCCAAGGAGACGAGTACCGTGCTCCAGCTAAAGCGTGTTGTCCAACGCATCCTCCAGCGGCCTCCAGAAGAGCAGCGGCTGTACAAGGATGACCAGCTCCTTGATGACACAAAAACTCTGGGCGAGTGTGGCTTCACTAGCCAGACAGCACGGGTACATGCACCAGCCACAGTGGGCCTGGCCTTCGGTGCAGATGATGCCTTTGAAGCCCTGCACATTGAGCCCTTCTCCAGCCCTCCAGAACCTTCAGATTCTGGAGGCAGCGCCAACGAACAAGCTGTGCAGTGAGGGCCCCAGGCCCATCATTCCCCTAGAGACCCATTCTCTCAATAAAGATGATTTGGCTGTCAAAAAAAAAGTTTATTTAAATTAAAAAAAAAAAAAAAAAAAATAGGTTTGATGTAAGTCAATGTTTATGGCAGTTTCCTTTAAATCATCATGGATTCTCTTTCTAGGCGGAGTAGTTGTGTGTGTGTGTGTGTGTCCATCCATCCAGTAATTTCCTGGAAAATTCAGGTTTCCACCTTTGTGGAAACACCCAACTATATGTGTCTCCATTTCCAGCCAGAGGACATGCCAAGTGAGACGAAAGGAACGTCCCAGCCCATGTCAAGCAGGGCAGAACGGCCGCGCATCCTGGGGTTCCCAATGACCAGTAGTTTGCACTCTATACCTGCAGATTACAGCAAACTGAAGCAAGAAGACCTGGATTTCTAAACTATGAGTTTCTTCATTTTCCCCCTGCAGTGCTGAAGATCGAAAACAAGGTCTCCTGTGAGCTAGGGAAGGTCTCTACTACTGAGCTACACCCTATATCCCTTTTATTATTTTTTAATTGTTTTTAAATTTTGAGACAGTTCGCACTAAGTTGCTCAGGGTGGGTGGCCTTGCTGCTGCAAACAAAGCAAACCTCAAACTTGTAATCCCCCTGCCCCACAGCCCCTCAAGCAGCTGGGATTACAGGTCTGTGCCATGAGATTCAACATGTTCCCTTTTATTGTAATTTCCCTTTTATTCTTTGAGAATCCCATACATTTATATAATAAAATATGATCAGATACACCTCTCTTTTCCCTTTGAACTCCCCCACCCCATGTACACCCCCCCCAACACTCCCTCCATGTCTTTTTATTAAGCCACTAAGCACAGTTAGGCTGTGTTCAGGAGTACAGGTGTAGCAGCATCCACCAGAGCACAGGACATAGACCGGTGGCCACACCCTTCAGGAAGACTCTTTTCCCAGCAGCCATCAATCGACAATAACACCTCCTCCAATCAGTGTCAGAGCCTGAGGACCATTTACTACTGTACTTGTGCTGGAATTTTGGCTGGCTTGATTTTGTGCAGATAACCATGACTTCTGTGAGTTCTGTGAACCCTATCATGTTCAGAGGAAAATGTTTCACAATGCTCCTCCCCACCCTCCACCTGTTACATTCTCTGTTTATGATGATGATGACGATGACGACGATGATGTGTATGAGTGTTTGCCCGCACATATGTATATATGCCATATGCATGGGTGGTGTATGTGGAGGCCAGAAGAGGACATTGGCTCGCCTGGAACTGCTGGAGTTACCGTTGTTAGTGAGCCAAACCCAGGTCTTCTGTAAGAACAGCAGCTGCTGTTAACCCCTGAGCCATCTCCCCAGCCCCTTGCTCTTACATGTTCTCAGTCTCCTCTTCTAAGATGTTTCCTGAGCTCTGTCGTGGGTGGCATGGGATAAATGGGTTCTACCTACGGCTGAGTGCTCAACCTCTTCTGCTCAGCACTTAGACCAATTATCTATCCCTGAACTGACTGCAATCCTCTTAAAAGAGAAGTGCCACGGACTCACATTGAGAGCAGCTCAGGTCATGAGTATAAACAAAAACATTCAGGAGACAATTTGGTAATACGAGCATTCACGAGACTCTCAAATAGTGCTGGAAGGTGTTAGGAAGGCTGTTGGTGGGGAAAACATCAATCATTTTACCCAGCATCAGTTCCTGCATGCTCCAGTGCTGACCTCTCAGGCAAGATGTAGCCAATGGCGCAGGAGTGGCAGAGCTTTTAAAGGGTAGCTGACCCGCTGCTTTCCGATTGGATCTGAGGCCTGCTCCACAGGAGGGCATTTCATTCCTGGACCTCCCATCGAAAGTCAAGAGTTTCTTTTTTAAAAGTTGCTTATAATGAAGATTTTAGGAATAACCCACACATCTATCTACTTAGTATTCTCCTTCACTGTTCAAAAATCACTTTGCTACATCTTTAGGATTATCCTATAGGGGCTGGAGAGATGACTTAGCAGTTAAGAGCATTCCCAGAGGATCCAAGTTCAATTCTTAGCAGCGACACCAGGCAGCTCACAGCCACCTATAACTCCAGCTCCGGGGGATCTAATGCCATTTTCCAGGCACACACACACACACACATACACACACACACACACACACACACACACACACACGTATGCATGTACACACACATCTATAATAAAAAATTAATACTTTTTAAAAACAAATAAGCACTTGAATGTTCATGCTATGACTGGTATTAAAATCAAGGCTAAGAAGGGGGTGGAGAGAAAATAAGAGAAATTAATCTTACTGTAAGAATTTCTATAGAAAAGAAAGTATTATAAACAGAAATATACCCAAAGATCTTATCCAGATTCATTTAGAGAGACAAAGAGGTGAAAAATACGGGAAAGAAAACAGACGTGATAAAGGATAAAATGAGGAAATACAAAGCTCAGGGAACGAGAAGAAAAAGTAATTATCAAATATTCAGTGGCATGAAATTTTCAGGAGTTAGTAAAAGATAGAAATGCCCAGATCTAGGAATTAAATAAACCCTGAGCTGAATAACCAGAAATGCAGAAATGAACTACAAGCCACATTGTTCTGAAACCTGTTCAGGGCTGAGGGATGGTTCAATGGGCACAGGGCTAACTATGGAAACATGAAAACCGGAGCTCAGATTCCCCAGCACCCATGTTAAAGGGAGTCAGAGGCAGGATGCTCCCAGGAACTCAGTCACCATCCAGTCCAGTTGCATCGGTAAGCTCCTGGTTCAGTGAGAGACCTCGCCCCCCCCCCCCCAAAAAAAAATAAGGTTGGAGAAATGATCGAGAAATCACCAAACTTTGACCTCTGGCCTCCACATGCATGTATAGATACACATGCTCACACACATACACGTGTGTATGCAGGGAGAGAGGGGGTGGGGGAGAAGAAAGAATAGGAAGAAGGAAAAGCTACAAGAAGAGAAATTCTGGACAGACTAGCAGAGAGGCTGAGCTCATGTGGTATGAGGAGTTTGCTTTCAAAAAAAAAAAGAGCTCACAGTTACACGATCATTTTTCCAGCACCAAGGCCATCTTGATACATTCTAATAGTTCACTTAAGCATCCTAAATATTAAGTTTGGCTCCTAAAAGCAGCAGTTCTGTACTCTGTCATAATCACGGTAATTGATGAGACCCAGACTCTCAATTCGAAAGGGAGGTTTTTGTTGTTGTTTAAGGTGAAAACCAGAGGGCTCCTTACAGCGATGTGTGTTCAAGCATTTGAGCAAACTGGCTGGATTTGCTGTCGTTTTTCTGTGATGTGGAAACGAGGATGGGCTCTCTGGAGGTTGGATGTGGACTGATGGAGGAAAACTGTTGAGGGGTCAGTAGAAGGGCGAGATAAATGACTCATGAGAATGTCTCTCGCGTGGGACTCCAGCAAAATCTGAACAAAGGGGAAAAAAGCTAACAGAATCAGATACTCTTAGAGCTGACAGAGTGAGGCAGGGGACGGGAGGGGGATTATTCCAGAGCTATAATTTACTAAAGAACTTTTCTGGGATTCCAGTGGTGTTGAAATCAGTTATGGCCTGGTAGCGAGTTCGTGGGAAAGAGACAGGGGGAAAATTAACTTACACTTGATATGAAGCACATACTCTGTGGTATTCATAAGAGTAAATTATATGCAAGTGGGGACATTTCAAAGAACTTCCTTTTCTCCCCTAATGAATATGTACTGTTAGATAACGAACTGTTCTCTTTGTTTTTAGTAAATAATCAACAACTTCTGATGCCTATAATCTAGTGTTTAGCTGTCCATACTTGTGATTTGAGTTGAGGGTAGATAAACATTACCACAATCCCTAGGAATTGCATAACATTTTCCTCCAACACTTAGTTCCTTGTCTTCAGTATAATACAGGTTCCAAGACGTATCATGGGAAAGCCTGGGGCTAGGAGAAAGCTTTAGCTTTAGGGAGAGCCCTGCTCATGTGAGCCAATAAGAATGCCAGCTAAGGACCAAAAGTAATGGCTGACTTGGAAAGCACATGGCTGGTGATGGGAATCAAGTTATGTTTAGCTATGTGTCTTGAATTTGCTGCTCCCTGACCTCCGGAGAACTCAGGATACTGATTGACAGACTACAGCTGTGAAATGCTGAGTCTCCAGCCTTCCACAGGGCACCTGGTGGAGTCATGATGAGAACAGGAAGCCAGAGATGGAAGAACAGCCGTCTATCAGGGAGTGCGCAGCGTAATGTTGGTTTTCTTCTTTTTCTGTTTAACCCATTTTGACACTTTTCTCCAGGCATTCTCATGACAACAGCGAGAATATGTTGAGTTATAAATCGTATAATATTCCAGTTATACAATGAAATAAGGACAATGGTTGCAAGAGGCCTTTTAAAGGCCTTTTAAACCATATACTCCACCCTTCAAAGCAGACCCAGAGGTCAAGTTCAGTTATTTTCATTTAAACAATGCGGGACTAAAGAAATGAAGCCAGGGCCAGTAGCAAAACAGAGGTCAGTTCTTAAGTCTCACATACCTGCCACTTACTTAGGGACTTGAAGTTTTGTATCCCATTAAGCTTTGAAATTATAAGAACATTAATTAACAGGTGTGATTTAACAAAGATTTGAAGGTAAGGATCTATGGATTGCCTCCTCTTCAATCACACTTGGAGAAGCTGATGTCCACGAGTGACTACTCAATACAAGAAGCCATAAGAAATGGTCATGCCATGCCCATGCCTCAACCAGTGCAGTTAAAGTCTACCAGCTAGGAGTTTTGAAAGCAATTCCAATCCTTTTTTTCATAGTTCTGGAGGGTATAAGCAGTCCTGAAAGTTTCCTATGTCCTGCTGAAGCAAGAAGGTGTGATGCTTCAAGTGTTTTCACAAATGGTTCTAAACACAAAAATCCCACTTGCCATGCAAGGTCTCATCCCAAGTGGACTATGCAATGTATTAAACATCAACTTGAAAAGGTAAGACCAGAAAGGCAAGACATGGGGAGGAAAGAGAGAACAAAATTATTCTCTCAACAGTTGGCTCTGCCTACACTTCTTCTTACCCACAGATGTGGT